CCCCAAAACCCCAAAACCCCAAAACCCCAAAACCCCAGACAAACATAAGTATAATGTTGATAAAAGTTATTAAATTAATTTATTTTTGCGATGAATTCTTCATTCCTTCAAATCCATTTTGGCAATTCTTTATAACTTATTTTAATTAGTTTCAAGTTTGTTAAAATTCAAAAATATCGTTGAAATTAGGCAAATAAATGATGCTACTCCAAAAGCAACAAATGGTATCGGTTATTTCATAACTGCTACAGATGGAGCTCCAATAGTTATTGACCTTGCAAAAATATTGCAAATTGAAAACAAAGTTGCTTTTATGTTAGCAGGGAAAAGTTTATTTGAGCTTATATAAGTCAAAGTGTAGATAGGGGATGATCCTAATTTGCTAAGAAAAACTAATACTGCTATGAATATAGTTGATTTTTTAGAAACCAATATATAAAAAAGAGAGGTAAAGCAACATAGAGTAAGAAATAATACAAATGATAGCTTTATACCAATTTTATTAATAATTGGTACAGATATTCCATAGGCTAAAAATTAACCAGTAGTTTATAACATATTATTAATATGTATATTTCCTTTGATATTTGGAAGTACGAAATCCATTAAGTGAAGATTAAAAAGAGCAGTAGTCCAAACAATGCACATTATTACCATATTTTTTACAAAAATTACGTTTCCAAAATAAGATCTCAATATTGATTTATTATTATTTAGTTCTTCTAAGACTATGCATTGTTCTTCTAAATTAAAATTATTATCGTTTTCAATTTTAATTCGATTAAATTAGGCTATTTCCATCATAACTTCTTTCGCAAGTTTGCATTTACCTGCTGAAACAAGATAGCGTGGAGACTCTTTTATAAATAATACCATAAAAGATGTGCAAAAACTAAAAACTGCTCCTAATTAAATAAATGACTCCCAATAGTTAGTAATATGCATAAAATAAAGAGGCCCGCACATTGAAGTTAATGCCTCGCAAATCTAGAGAATTGAAAACACTAGAGTCCCATGTTTTTCCATTACTATCTCCAAAATGTATACTTCCATCACACATTGATATATGGCAACCACTAATCCCATTGTAAACATTAGAAATTAAAAAATTTGTAGATCATTCGTTAATAAAAACCCCACTTTAACTATTATGCAAGCTGTTGTATTAATAATTAATAGTGGTTTCCTGCCATATTTATCACTTAATGGAGTAAAAAGTATCATACTTGTTAAAATACCAGTGAAATAGAGTGTTCCAAACAATGAAATTTATAATTCAGAGTTACAATAGAGATTGAATTTTTCTATCCAGTTATGAATGCTATTTTAATTTGAATAGTCTGGTAACCAGTCATTTTTATTTAAAGTGCAAGCCAGTTCTCTATCACATTTAATCCAAGACTAAGTTTGATTATTAAAGCATTTAAAGTGAGGATATTATTCTAGGTAAGAAATGTTGCTGATTATCAGGTAATTATTTGTCACTAAGAAGACCCCAAAAATCAATGAATAAAGTTAGTATTTTCCGAACCCTCCTACTTTCTCAAAGGCTGTTTCTATATCGATTGTTCTAGAATTATTCTCAAATTGTTATTCTATCTCAGTGTTATAATCTTAATGAGAATTTAAGTCATTTATTAACAAGTTTCATTCATCATTCATGCCAGATAAATCATTGAAATCTTTTTAGTTTATAGAGATCATCTTTAATTCAAATTCAAATTTGAAATTCAGTTAAAAATCTTAATTATTAATACTTTATTTGCCTGTAATTCAATTAATTTCCATCTCCGGGGTTTTGGGGTTTTGGGG